TCCTATATTCTTAAATTTTCTTTTTAATATTTCGGTATTTTGATTCTTAATATATTCTAAATTACTTTCTAGAGTTTTTATATTTTTACTTATATTTTTAATAAATTTTCTGCCTTTCTATTTAAATTGTTTCTTTCTAAATTTACGAGTAAATCTACAATACTATTTAGCAGCTTATCCATAGAGTGCAAAAGATGCTTAAAATTTTTATCAAAATTACAAAGCAAAGATGCTGTATCTAAACTATCTCTTCTTTTAAAATTTCCTAAGATTTCTAAATTTAAGTAATATACTCTTTTCATAAACTAATTATCTTTTAGACTAGGAAATAGCTCTGATACCAATTAGGTTGGCAAGCAAGTCTTAATGGCAAGCAAGGTTTAACAGAAAATTAGTAATAAAAATGTGTTTGTAATTGTAACAAAAAGTCTAAATCTTATTTATGGTTTGAAAAATAGTAAGAAGAGTTCTTTGTTGTAAGAAAAATAAGTGCCAATTAAACACATAGAGAGTGATGAAAGTGACAAATCTCACCAATTTATTAAGTGAGAGTGAAAAAAGATTTTTAGCCGATTACAAAAGTCTTCAAATTATGTAACCTAAATAGAAAATCTTAAAAGAACATTTTTTCTTAGAAAGAGAATCTTACTATTTTTATCTTTATTTTTCTCATATAAGTTTTGTGTCTTTTTGTCTTTTCTTACAATTTTCAGGATCTTTTATCAAGAAGCTCAGACACTAAGAGATAGCAAGCTCAGTGATTTACTTTTTGATATATAAAGAGGAGTCACCTCTATTTCTATCTAGTGCAAATAATATGTGGCTTCCTGTAATGATTAATCTACTAATTTCTTGATTTTCTTAACAAATATCAATAAATTCTTTAAAATTTTCTAGTGAACAACAAAGCAAAGTAGAAAAAGTATAATTATCTAATGGCATAAAAATATTGGATCTTAAAAACAATATGATTGTAATGGCCTCAGAGTTCTTTACCGTTCAACAAATTAATTTATTTAATTTATTTTTTTTATAAACTCTCTCCTAGCTTTTTTCTCACCTTTTACAAAAGGTCTAAGATTATAACCAAAAAGATTTTCATCATGTTTAAAAAAGCTTGAACAAATTCTCTCTATTGGGATACAAATTAACCCGGTATTTAAAAAAAAAAAAAAATAGAAAATGCTTTGAGTGTAGCCAGCAATATTTCCGCGCTTATTGCTGGTCAACGACTCAACAATATGACGTACAAACCTCAATCACTTTCAGATTGCATTTTCATGCCATCTATGGGGTAAAGAGTTGAGAAAGAGTCCTTATAGCATTTGTCTTAGAAAAATTGTACCCATATGGACTGTTGCATTCGAAAACGCTGCCACATTTTGAAGCTGAATGCAGATAATACGACTCCAACTTTTCGACAACCCAGTCGTCATTCCGGAAGTGGGTAACGAAGTTTAGTCCATTTGGCCCGACGAATACACTTTTTCTGACTTTTATCTCCCCATAGAAGGCACCAAATACGTTCTCAATCTTCTTAGTAACATTTTTTGACATCAATAAAAATGAAATAAAACTTTCAAAATTTGTGTGAGATTCAGTATTATGTTTATGTTTGATAATTTCAATTAAAATTGACTATTTTCATAAGAGGTAATTATATTTGTGCCACAAGTTTTGTTAGCTGCAGTATATTTTAGTCCTTAACATTTGCTTAGGTCTTGCTTATTTTTTCAACATTTTTTCATTATATTCAAATACTTAACCTTCCATTAATTACCATATCTTGTCACTCATGATAATTTTCATCTAACAGATACATTGGAAGTCATAAAATGACTTATTTTTCCCTTATATATAAGCCCAAAAAAAAAAAAAAAAGGGTAGTTCGATAAAAATAAAATATCTATTACTTCAAAGCAGGGTAACATACTATTAACAACATACATATTGACTTGGCATCAAAGTACATGATCAACGCAGCACGTTATCGGACTAGTAATAAAAATGACTTGGCAATTTAATTTTAAAAACTATTCCTTATGGGAGTTCCTTAATATGTTGGGAAGCTTCTTACTAGATTTAGAAGAACTGGGGTCTTAGGATATGTTCTAAATTAACCTTCTCATAATTCCATTATATTGAAAGAAATACTTACTCGTCGAAATTCAGGCCAGGGGTTAGCCGTACCTTTTTTTTTTTTTTTTTTAACTAATTTCTTCTCACCTTCTATTTTGGTTCCATAATATTGAAGCACTGACACATGTCAGAGCGTATCGGCACATGTCAGTGTTCAATGCATTTCCGAACAAACACGTCAGCACCAACAACATGTCGGTACGACTAATTATCCAACCTAATTCCTATCACACAAAATGTGAAAAATTTCTAACTTTTTATGAAATTTACTTCTTTCTCCTGGTTGGCCTAATGTATTCCCTTGGGCATTATCTTTTTCTCCGAAAGTGCCAAATCATGTTTAACTTTCTCTCTCTTTCATGTTCATTTTAATTTTCTGCTGAGTTTTTAGACTATTCTTAGGCATTTATAATATTCTTTTCAACTGGAGCCTGATTGGTCACTCTTTTTACTTCTTTCCCTTCCCTTGTTTACCTAATGTCGCCCCTCAACCTATGACTAATCAAACCAACGGGCCACAACCAACAGCTACTTGCCACACTATTATTGGCTAGGTTCCTCTTTCCTTCCTTGTGTTGAATATGTATTACTAAAATAGAGTCCTGAGAATTTTCTGCTCTCTCTAATCCAATCAATCAGCTCTCATTTCTCTCTCCAACTTAAATAAATCATCTTTTCCTTTTTTTTTTTTCCTGATTTTATAGGCATCTTATTAATTAAATAATTTTTGGATTTTTAGCCACTTCGAATTATAATAATGAAGACGACTTCAACTTAATCTAGGAGTGACAAAATACACCACCAAGTCCTAAAATCCCCGAACTCGCCTAAATTTTATTTATTTATCTATTTATTTTTAAATTTAATTTTCATTTTAAAAAAACATTGTTATTAAAATATATAAAGAAATAAAAGAGTTGATGAATGAGAATATTTTAATCCAAACCTCACCCCACTTTTGCCCTTTTCCCTTCCTATCCCATTCTTGTCCCACTCTCCAAACGTTCTGATGGGATGGGGCTACAAAAGGCCATCTCGATCTATTATAATCTGTTACTTGAGGTCCATATAATGAACGTAGTCAACATCTTGTTAAAGTTTGTCCAAAAGAATAATATTTTAGACTTCCATAAATATGGACACAGTCTATTTCGTATGTATACTTCTATACCAATACTTGTTTTTCTAAAATATTTAAGCGACTTTTCAACCATTAGAAGAAAAATGCAAGTTGTATTCTTTAGATATTGACTGAGAGCAGTCGTCATCAGATAAATCATGTATAAATGCAATAGATCTTGAAAGGTTCTCAAATTGGGGTAGGAGATGGAGACATTGGAAAATCTGCTTTTTGAAGCAGCAGCTGAAGGAAACGTGAATTCTTTGAAGACGCTGCTTCAAGAAGATCCAATAATTCTTGATAGAGTTATAGTTAATAGTTACTCTGATACTCCTTTGCACGTAGCAGCAATATTGGGACATATCGATTTTGTGAAGGAAATCTTAAGACGAAGACCTGAATTTGCACGAGAATTGAATTTATGTCAATCACCGCCTCTCCATTTGACATCCGCTAAAGGTCATATAGAGGTAGTTAGAGTGCTGTTATCTGCTAATCCTCTAATGTGCCTAGCTCGTGATAGAAATGGTCTGACGCCTCTCCATCTGGCAGCCATCAAAGGCCGGATTGAAGTCGTGAAAGAGTTGGTTCGTGCAAAACCTGATGCAGCTCTAGTGATCGTGGGTCAAGGGCAGACTATTCTACATTTGTGGGTGAATTACTATCAGATTGAGGCCTTAAAGCTCTTAGTGAATAATATTAGAGATCAAGATTTCACAAATTGTAAAGATAGTGTTGGAAATACTATTTTACACTTGGCATTAGCTGACAAACAAGTTGAGGTATGCCAATAGCTCCATTTTCTTCATTTTATTTTTTGAGAAATAAATGAGCTTTTCATGTCAGCTGTTTATAAGTAGAATTAACCATTTGGTGGGAGGATTTAGAATCGAAAACAAAAGAGAAGCTATAATATTCTTTTGTACAGTGTTAAAATATTGTATACCAAACATGTACTAATTATTTTGAAATGTCTACAGACAGTTAAATTTTTGCTTATGGATTTTGCAACGGAAGTTAACTCTCAGAATCTCTGTGGGATGACTGCAATCGATGTTCTGATCCGTAGTCGGATTGATGTGAGGGATGAATTGAAGAAACTGTGAAACATGCTGGAGCATTTAAATCAACAGAAAACAATTCATTAGTCCAAATTAATCATAACATAACTCATCCAGGCTCAAATTTGTCCTATGAACACCGAGATTTGTCCACAAATGTGAAAAAGAACAGTAGAGAAAAGATGTTTAAACAGAAAGATGATTGGTTGGAGAAAAAATGAAGTGCATTAATCGTAGTGGCTTCTTTAATTGCAACCATGGCATTTCAAGTTGGAATCAACCCTCCATGTGGAGTATGGCAGGATAATTATAAGGTTGACTCACAAGGTCATACTATATCAGTATCCAATTCTCACAAGGTCGGAGAATCCATTTTCGCTCATAATCATCCGGAGGATTATAGACAGTTCTTGATTGCTAATACAGCAGGACTCATTGCATCACCCAGTATCATATTATTGTTGATGAGTGGTTTACCTCTAAGGAGGAGAATATTTATGTGGATTTTGATGGTGATCACTTGGATTGCAATTACAGCAGTCGCTGTGACTTATCTCTTTTCAATATCTGTTATAACACCAGAAAAAGAGAGAGAAAAACAAACAATTATAATTTTGATTGGGCTATCATTTTATATATGGCTTGGCCTCATGGTTCTGCTATTCATTGGACACACGATTCAATTGCTAATCAAGATGGTACGAAAGTTAATAAAATGTTTGAGCCCGAAAGAAAGGATTCAAGGTTCGGGAACTACAAGTCGTAGCACTGTTTAAGGTGTTGTTACGTTATGTCTAGTAAGTTGAAGTATAATGTTGAATGCATCTAAAATTTTAATCGAAAATAAATTCCTACTTATTATAGTGTCTGATCATGTTCTGTACTATAAATAGAAAAATGCCTTAAATGCTTGCACTACAAATATTTAATGAATGACTATGTTGTAATTTTGTTACAATTATTGCTTATCAGATAAAATATGTGTAATACACAAATATAATCTTATGCTAATTCTTTAATCATATATAATTTCTCCCCATGTGTTCAGTCATCTTGATTGAAAACTTTAGCTACTAGAGAATTATCACACTTGGTTATTTAACCTTATTTTAATATATGGACAGAATGTAAGTGTTATGCCCTAGGTCCAATCAATCTTGGACATAAATACTTTTAATATATAATTAATACAATTTAATGATAGAACTATAAATAATTAATATACAATTAAATTAATTAATAGAGTCCGTAAATTCAAATCTTCATAATTTGTTAATCACAAAGAGTTGTGATTGGGAGATACAAATTACATATAATTGAATCTTAAATCATTTGTGGTAATAAGTAATAACGAGATACGGATATCGTTATTACGGTTAGATCATCACGTATGACATTCTTACTTGTGAAGTAAGTAACTGATCTCACAAGCTAAAGTATGGTGACACTTGAATGAACACATGGATGTTTCGTCATAGAACAAAGCATTGGAGATCCACCTAGAGATTCCACATGGATAACCATTTGAGTGTTAGTGGTTAATCTCTAATGTTCAGTAGTAGGATTGGTCATTTGACTTGAGGTCGTCATAGAGGACAGTCATGCTTTAACGGTGTTGGATGTTACTCTGTCAAGGGTCGCTAATACAGTATCGTTTGGGTATATCAAGAATCCTATGAAAGTTATGAATGACCAATAGAGGATTTGTAACTCTAGATAGTAAGAGATTATGATCTGCATTTCATTCAATTAAATTGATAAAGAAATCATTGGCCAAGGTATACTCATAAGTTGAAAAGGAGTTTTCGACTTATATTAACTTAATAGTGGAGTGAAAGATATGATCGATAATCAAGATTGACACATTTTCATATCTCGTAATTGATCGGATCATATTAACAAAGGGATTATAGTTTCACGGTAAACAAATAAGTTTGGTTTTGTCATATCACGTGGCATTTCCTATCACATGTATTGTCCTGACACATTGCTAGATATGAATCTGAGATGGCGAGTGTGAATTGGTGATAAATTAAAATGATGTTTTAATTTATCGATTTTGATTAGATCAAAATAATATTTCACGTTGTTAGACATCGTGATTGGGAACCTGATGGGTCGTACACAAAAGGAGAGCTGGAATATTCTGATTTATCAATTAATTAGTTTAACAAGCATTGCATAAATTAACTAATTGGGCCGCTTATTTATAGGCACAAATTAATTAATTGAATTAATTAATTCACCAACCAAATTTAATTAAATGGGTTAATTAAATATTGGACCGGCAGGTCAAGCCCGTTTAGGCTTATATAAATAAGTTATTAGGGTTTATAATTTTATAGAAAATTTATTCTTGCTAGCACAAGAGGAGAAAACTTTAATCCTACAATCTTGTTCTCTGTGTGGCTCACCATTGGAGGCTGGATAAATGGACAGCTGTGGTTGGCAGATGAAGATCATTGGAACAAAAGAAAAGCAAAGGAGTTTGCAGATCTAGAAAAATATATGACTTTTATCACAAATTTCTATCTAAACACAGAGAAGATTCCTGGTGGGAATTGAAAATTGTTTTATTTTTGCTGCACATGTTAAGTAGATTCCCAACATAGAGGTAGTCTTGAGGGTGCACGAATTGAGTGATCACATCGAGCCTCAGCATTGTAGTGATACCAAAAAGGCAAATAATGATCCTTATTTAGCATTATTATTTTTTGTTCCTAATTGCATATGACACCAAGATATTTTTATTAAAGCATGGAGAAAGGATTCTCATGGTTTAGGCTCCTTCGTAGCTTATTTCGATGAGTAGTGCTTCACAATTTTCGTTTACGGATTATTTATTTATGGATTATAGGCATTTGGCTTAGTGTGATATGCAATTGCATAAGACACTAAAGCTAAGAATAATGTGACTGACTAGTTATATAATTTTCTTAATTAGTATCTTACCTTAAATAATGTGAGGGGTAAGGGAAGAGCGGAAAAAGTATCATGTCTTAAATATAATTTTCTTGATTCCTAAAATCTGTGATTTTGTTTCATTATCACTGCTTTATGGTATGTGGATCTTTTCAATGACCGTTAAAATCTTAAGGTAATGGCAAATTATATTCTTTTCAAGTTTGATATGTACATCTTGATAAGTTAGAAAAAGCCTATGTTGAATTCTAGTTATTTAGGATATAGTAGCTATGACTATATGGTATGATATATTGTATGCTGCTAACTTGATTAGTAAATGCATAAAATCTAATGATTTGCTTATTGACATTGCTATTGAGGAAGAAAAAGGGTTGATTGCTTTTTTATTTTTTAATACAGACAGACAGACAGACACACACACACACACACACACACACAGGGAAATTGGATTCAATTATGCAATAAATATTTCTAAATAAATTGTCATTTAAATGAAAATTAATTCTTTTTTTCAAGTGAAATGTATAATTTGTAGGAAGAAACATTTTGATAAAATGTCACTCTAGACGATGCATAATTACCTGAAAATTCTTTTAGAACCAATTATTTCATTTATATAGTAGTCAAGCAATTTAATCGCTTGAATGGAGGTTTGATCAATTAACTTATATGAAAAAAGTTTGGGATTTATTGTGAGAAGTTAAAGTCATTGGATGATACTAATTTGAAAGCATTTTTTGATCATCTTGACATTATTCTAAGACATGTAAATTTGTATGATCTTTATGACGAAGATTTGTTTTAAAAGTTAAAAATTTTGCAAAATCTCTTATCAAAAGAAACAAAGACAGCTCTTGATATATTGAGTTGTTTGAAAAGATTGCATTGTTTTCGACTACATTTATTGCTTATAAAATATTATCGACAATTCCTATTATTGTTGTATCTGTCACAAGAATTTATTTAAAATTGAAGTTATTAAAATCGCATTTCATATTACAAGAATGATTGAATGTCTTAGCTTTGATATCTATTGAATATGATTTGCTAGAATATGTTGATCATTACAAAGATTGATTATCGAGTTTGCTTCTAAAAATGCTAGAAGAAATATTTTTACATGATTTTCTATATTTCAAGGTTCACAGGTGGCATTTACTATTTTTTGATTTCAAGGTTTGCTTATATGAAATTGCATGAAAAAGGTTAGTGGTTTGGATGGTTATTTGTTGACGATATGTGAATTTTGATGAAGTTCAAGAGGTGTTTTTGAGTTCTACTTGTACTTTCTTATTCACTACAAGTAAAAAACTAATCAAAGATTTCAACATTTTATTTTTACAATGAAATAATATTATTGAAATAATATTTTTTTAATATATTTTTTTAGTTATCTAAAGGGAGCCACTATAAAAGTCCGTAAATCTCAGGCCTACCCTGTACATAGACGACATCAATATTTGAGTCTAGGTCCTTTATCATATTAAATCACCTCATTTAAAAGTTTAAACTTTTATATGAGGTGGTTCAACAATAAAACTTCTCACCTTGAACTTGAAGATTTCAAGTTTTGAATTGAACATCAGTATCTCTTTCTCATTCATATTCTGGTGATATTTGTTCATTATCCATACTGTAATTTATATAAAATCATGTTAGGCTAAATCCTTGTTTGTATTGGATGAAAATGAACTTTATTTGTTTTAACTCGAGACAATTAGTTTAATAATTCTTATTTTTCTTGATTAATCTTGCATTCCCGTTGCGGTATTTAATTGCTTAACCATCAATTAGATAATTAGTTGCTATTGTAGTGGTGAAAAGTTCACAATTAAGTTTAGAACGCTACAAGGTTAACACACGGTTAATAGATGTTAAGAATAACATATATCTCGTGTGCAATCATTTAGATAATCATAAAATTGAGTGCATTCTACTCATTCGAATTTAGACTAAGAATAGGATCAGATCAAGTATAAAATATATTTAATTTATTTCCAGAGCTGGCCCTGATATTTTGGGGGCCTTATGCCAATTTCAAATATGGGGCCCCTATATATATATATGTGTGTGTGTGTGTGTGTGTGTGTTCAAAATTGCAAAAACAATAATTTAAAACT